GCAGGAGCCGCTCTCGGGAGCCCCCCAGCCTGGCCCTGGCCCAAAGGGAGCACTGCATGGGCCCCACACGCCAGGCCCCCGACCCTGCTCTCCTGCAAAGCCAGCAAGGACAGTGCAGCCCTCCCCCGGCCAGGCCGGGGAGCAGAGCAGGACCTAGCCTGCCAGTCCCTGCAGAGCTCGGAGCCAGCTCTGCTCCTGCCTGAGGCCCACGGAGCTGGCGCCCAGCTCACCGGTAATGGCCCCGCACCACGCCGTCCGGGTTCAGCATGGGGACCAGCTTGAAGACGAACATGCGCCTCAGCATCTGGGCGCGGGGGTCGCTCCCCCGCAGGATGAACTCCAGGAAGCCGTTGAAGACGAAGCTGGAGGGCGTTTCCCCGGGGTGGACTCTGCTGCTCAGGAAGAAGACCTGGAGGAGACACTCAGAGCTGCCGACTTCCCTTCCCAGCCTTGTGCAATGCGCCCTCGCCCTCTGGGCTCCAGCGTCAGCCAGGCGCCACATCCGGCCATCCCTCCCCGCCGCCCATTCCCAGCCCTGCCCAGCCTGGCTACCAGCCATCCATGGGCCTGTCTGGCTCTTCTCTGAACCCTGTTCAAGTTCTGCCACATCCTCCAGCAAGGAGTTCCACAGGCCGACCGTGCGCTGCGTTAAGAAATGCTGCCTTTGGGTTGTTTCAAACCTGCCACCTATTCACGTCCGTGGGTGACCCCTAGTTCTTGTGTTATGGGAGCAAGTCAATCACTTTTCCTTATTCACTTTCTCCACATTGGTCAAGATTTTACAGACCTCGGTCCTATCCCCCCTTAGCCTCCATTTTTCACAGCTGAAAAGTCCCCGTTTTATTACCCTCGCCTCACGGCAGCCGTTCCAAACCTCTCAGCATTTTTGTTTCCCTTTTCTGAACTTTTCCCAATGCCAAGAGACCTTTTTGGGATGAGGCGACCACACGTGTATGCAGGATGCAGGCTGTGGGCGTCCTATGGATTTATCCAGCGGCAGTAAGAGATTCTCCGTCTTATTCTCTCTCCCTTTTTAATGATTCCGAACATCCTGTTGGCTGCCGCTGCCCACGGCGTGGACGCCTCCAGAGAACGATCCACCGTGACTCCAAGATCGCTCTCGAGTGGCTACAGCTAACCCAGTCCCCGTCGTTCTGCAGGCAGAGCCGGGTTATGTTTTCCAAAGGGCATGACTTCATATTTAGCAACATGAACGTTCAGCTGCCATTGTGTTGTGCAGTCACCTGGCTTGGTGAGATCCTTTGGAAGCTCTTCACAGTCGGCTTTGGACTTTGCTCTCTTGAGCAGTTTGGTGTCACCTGCAAATGCTGCCACCTCGCTGTTTCCTTCTCCAGATCACCGATGAACGTGCAGTACGGGACTGATCCCAACGCGGCCCCTGGGGGCAGCACTAGCTACCTCCCCCATCGGAAAGTGGGCCCTCTGTTCCCTGTCCTCTAAGCAGTGGCCATCCACGAAGGGACCTTCCCTCTGACCCCACAGGAGTGAGAGCTCCCTTGGCTTCCGAGCCATTGGTGAGGGGCCTTGACAAAGGCTCTCTGGAAATCTCCGGACACTAGCC